TTTGCGATTTATTTTAATAAAATTTAGTTACATTTTGATTATAAAATAAGAATAAAACCCATTTGCATGATTTTCTCTCTTTAGTTTGATTGTCACCTGAGCAATATCAACACTCTTTGTTTTAAGGAAAGAATGGATCAAACCATGGTCCAATTGATGCTTTCTTCAGAACAAAAGGCTCATGGCGTTAACAATTTTTGAAGTCCAAATAATGACCCAAACCAAAGGAGATTAGCTAATTGGAGGCCCAAAACATGCAGCACAAAGAGAAAAGAAGAAGCTTGGCTTGGAGGAATTTGGACCAGTGCATCAACAAGATATGTGAAATGATCTTCTAACAGAGCTTATGGACAAAAATTGCACCGTTTTGAAGAAATATTACACCTAGTTTTAGATGCATCTCCCCTTTCTTGTATTTTATCAATCCTTTTGCAGTAAATGGGTGGTGCAAATAAGCTTTTCAAACCAAGTTGTGCAAGTGGGCGAAGTGACCAATCATAGCTAAGTATGAAGTATTACATAAAGGAAAGAAAGAGAGGATTGAAGGGTTGGACTTTCTTGGCACCTAGTTGTGTCGCCCATGCAAGATAGAAAAGAAAAAAAAAAGAGAGAGCCAATCAGAGTTGAGAGATAGCCACACGAAGAGAGACAGCGACCATCGGAGTTATTAGAACACAAAAGTGGAGGAGCTACTTCTCAAGCTTAGGACATGCTACACAAAGGCCAATCCAAAAGTACTTCCCAAAGTTTTTATTAATGTGCCCCTTACTTCTTTTGTGTATTTTATTTTGGTTGATATATTTGTAATAATGCTAGGCTACATATCCAAATCTAATTATGGGATTTTCTAATAATTTAAAATGCAACTTTGAATAGCTCGATTTATATTAAAAATGAAAAAATTTCTGATTTAATGTGTTTGGCCTTGATGCTTGTGAATGTGGAGGCCCTATATCTGTATGCTTTTAAATCTACTTGTTAGATGGAGAAATTGATACGTTAGATCAGATCTTACATATTAAGCCTAGGATTTTAGACCTAGAGATACGGTAGAGTCCTCTGAGGGTAAAAAGAAATAACACCGGCTTAATGAGTTTTAATCGTGTCTCTGAGGGTAAAAAGAAATAACACCGGCTTAATGAGTTTTAATCGTGTTATGCTACGAGAGTACATATCACATGATTGTAACATTTCATTTGAACTTAAGAGAAGAATCCGGATATCTTAGATTATTTCTCCTTCAGGAATGGGCATAACAATTTTTTAATCCCGCTATGCTACGAGAATGCACGTGTGGAGCACATTCCAAAGAGCGAACACTTGCAAATCTCATCTATAAAATATAAATTTTATCCTTTAGATAACCTAGAGCATACCAACATAATGAAAACATAAATCTGGCCACAGCTAACTGAATTAGAAATGAAAATCAAGTCACACTTAAATGATGAGCATCAATAATTTGCATTAAAATATTGGCATCCTTTTGCAAATTCTGCATTTCAGGAGACCCATGAATACACACATCATAAAGAAAGAATTGCTCCTTGTTAACAGCTCTTTGTCCGATTCTTTATATATATATAATATATATAATATATATATCTGTGTGTTGTTGCGAATATGTATATCTGTGTGTGTGTGCGAATATGTAGTTCTTGATTTGTTTATAAATTTGTTTTAATTTTTATTTACAAATCTATTGATGAGAGAGAGAGATAGATGAGGAAGGAGAGAGCAAAAATAAAAAATATTGATGGAAGGACAGAATAATTGAATGGAGTCAAAATATAAGAATAAAGTAGTATATTTTATAAAATATAAGAACAGAGTAATCAATTCTTGATTAATATAGAACATGTTTATAATTTTTCCTTCTATTAAATTAAACAAACCAACGTCTTTCACCACCCCCTTCAAGAGTTGGCACCTCTCCAATGAAGTTAGAAAGTCAACTTGAATAGGGACTTAATGGATCGATAGCCGCTTAAAATGAATTATCCGAATCCAAACCATATTATAAATTAAATACCTGAATTAGTTCCAAATTCGATTATCCGTTAAAATACCCGAACCCGTTTAGTATTAAAAATATATTTTTTTTTAGTTTTAAAAATGAAAAGTAAATAAACATTTAGAAAATTATTTTCTTCACTTAATAAAAAATATAATACAAATATTAAATATAATATAGCATTAATTATAATTAAAAGTAGTCTATATATAAATTTTCTTTGAAAAAAATAATCATTGTAAATATTTTTTAATATTTATTAAACGGGTAGCGGACACCAGAATCTTTGAACTCGAATTTAACCTGAACTTAATATGGGTAGTAAAAAAGCTATCAGAGCTCGTCCCATACCCATTTATTCATTACCTGCACCCGCCAAAATCGAATGAGGTACCTGTCGGGTCGAGTAAAATTGTCATCCCTATACACCCTTATCAAATTTGTTTTCTATATTAGTTATCCGCCTTGACCGCCTACCATCCTAAGATTTTTAGCGTGAAATCTTCTATGGATGAAAAGTAAATCCATATAGATATTTTCTTGTTTAGATTGATGCCCATATATTTTTTTTAAAATGTGGAAATTTGAAATAGTTTTTTGGAAAAATATTTTCTTGCTCTTCCTATTGATTTCATACACATACAATACTGTATATATATCATATACATTCGTAAAAATAAACTTTACGTATTCCTTTCATTATATTTTATAAATCAATGCATGTCATACTTATTTTATTACAACTTATCAAATATATTCAATTGGATAGAAATATAGCTGGCAACCGCAAAATCTTTATATTGTGTAGGGTAAGAGTGACTTAGAAAGCTCACTACAACATATGCTGCAAAATAAAGTAAACATAACAAAACTAAAGGTAAAGATAGTAGAAAGATAAAGAGTTACTTTAAAGGAATTAAATCAAATATGTAGTTTGTTGGAATTCCGCATCAAGTTGTTTCTTATTCTCGTCAACTGGATTGCCTTTAAATAGGCTTTATAAGATTAAAAAAAAAAAAAAATCAACAAAATAGTAGAATTAGTTGATACTAAATTAAGGTGCTTTCACTAGTAACAACTAATCAGAAATTATAGGAAAAATATTTAAACAAAATAAAGACAGTCAAATACCCAGCTTTCAATTATTCAAAATACCTAATATAGCTGTCAACTATTGAATCAACCTCCAATACTCCCCTTTGATTCAAAGTTAGACTCCAAGATGATTTCTCAAGTAGACATGCTTATCATGTGTAAGAGACTTTGTCAGAATGTCAGTCACTTATTTATTTGAATCGCAGTACTCCAATTTGACTAACTCATTCGCCATAAGTTCTTTAGTAAAATGGACATGTATATCTATATGCTTTGTTCGACCGTGGAACATCAGATTTTTTGTCATAGCAATTGCATCTTGATTGTGACAAAAGATTTTAGTTGGTCCAATTTGTTCTTGACAAAGATCAACAAGGATTCTTCTTAGCCATACTCCTTGACATGTTGATGAAGTTGTAGCTGGATATTCAGCTTCTGATGAAGGCAAGCTTGTGGTACTTTGCTTCTTTAAACACCAGAAATAGCACTACACCTAAGATTAAACATGCATCCTGAAGTGCTCTTTTTATACTTCTAGCACCTAACCCAATCACTATCTATGTATCCAATCAACCTGAAATCTGATGCTCTTCAATACCATCATATCAACTGTTCTAGCTACATAACGTAGAACTCTTTTATTGCCCCAAGGTGATGCTTTGAGGATTGTGCATGAACTTGGAACTGACTCTGTTTGAATATCCAACATCTAGTCATGATGGCTTTGATGGGAGTGGGTATAAAGCGGAAACAACCCTTAACGAAACCATATGAGGCAATGTAAAAACATTATCGAACAAATCAATAAACTGACCTCTTGAAGCGCAGAATCGCTCACCGGTCTTCTTTCCAGAGATCTTGGAGTCACCCACGATCTGGTCCTTCTTTCCAGAGGATCTGAGTCACCCACGATCTTCTTGCATAATCCTAATTATCTCTCTTTTGGAACTCTCTGAGTGGCAGAGAAATAGAATAACGTGCGTCTTATTTTTCTTAGGGTTTTCCAATCTTATTATTAAAAAAACCTCTCTTCGAATGAGGGAAGATATTTTTTAATAAAAAAAATTAAATAAAAAATATAATAAAAAAACAATTATTTAAAACTAAAAATTTATCTATTTATTAATATAACACCCTAACTTTCCAAAATAATTAGGGGCACACAGGGACCGCAGGAATAAAATAAAATTCAGACTACTAATATATAATTAAGAACCTATGTTAGACCAACCATATTCTTATTATAATTAATCATGATTATTCCACTAAAAACTCATTGACTGAAACTCCTTATTTATTTTACTATTTCCACAACATAATAAATAATGTTTTTCCCCCGTTAGATTAACAGATGCTGTCATTTAAAGATGCTGTCATTTAAATAACTTACTGACAATTTATTTAAATCACAATATAACTTTAAGATTGTCGCTCAACTTATTTCATGTGTATTCAATATCCACCTATAGGATTTACACTATGAAACCTTATAAACTTACTTAAAGTGCATCATCAATCTCTAAACCGAGACATGGATTCTATCATTAATTAATATTTCACAAACACAATATATCTTTGCCCAATTCACCGAGAACATTATTCCAATAATGAAACTCACCCTTTAATGAATCAAAGCACAAGACAATCAATGTTTGCTCATATTAAAATAAATCAAGATTAAGAACGATAAACATTATTTCTAATGTCCTAGAGAATAGAATATGTTTAACAGTCAGTACTAAACATTCATTCTCTACTTGGTCCAATTAAATACATACAAAATGTACTAATCACAATTATTGTTCATATGCTAATAACATTTATTTAATGCAAATTTCCAATTAAATACAAAGAAATAATTGTCTATAGAAAATCATTCATAGCTATACTATTACATAGTTAATAGTATATCTCTATCATTCACAAGCTCGTCCAAACACCAGGGAGAACATGCATAATTTTCCGAGAAAATGACCACTGAGATATATGATTTATCAATTATTGCCAAGAGGGATGAAGAGATGTCTTCACCCCTGTCAAGTTTTTCATCCACAAAAGCAACTATTTCATTTTGACTCAAAGCTCTTTGAACCATGTCTCGTATCAAATGATACTTCCTCTCAATGTGTTTTGCCCTTTTATGGCTCCGTGGCTCCTTTCCTTCGAGTTTGCAACTGCCCCACTATTATCACATAAAGTGTAATAGGCAATTGCAATTGCACTGAAGAAACTACGCCTAGATCCATAAGGAAGTTCCTAAGCCATACAGCTTCCTTTGCAGCTTCAGAAGCTGCCACATATTCAACTTCCATGGTGGAGTCAGCAACACAAGTTTGCTTAATACTCCTCCAACTTATGGCTCCACCTCCCAAGACAAAAGCATTACCAGAGGTTGACTTCCGAGAGTCCTTATCAGTCTGAAAATCCGAATCTGTATACCCAATGGGTACAAGATCGTCAGATTGATAAACTAACCTATAATCCCTAGTCCTTTTCAAGTACTTGATAATATGCTTGACTGCAGTCCAGTGTTCTCGCCCAGGATTAGATTGAAATCTGCTAACCATGCCAACAGCAAAACAGATATCAGGTCTGGTATCAGGTCTGTACACAACATTGGCATACATAAGGGCTTCCAACTGCAGAAGATATGGGAACTGGCCTTCATGTTCTCTATCTCCTCAGGTGTCTTAGGGACATTGGTCCTTAGATTTGGTCCTTAGATAGAGTGATTCCATGTCTGAAGGGAAGAAAACCCTTCTTGGAATCCTGCATGCTGAAACGAGCAAGAATGGTATCAATAAAAAGTGCTTGAGATAAGCCAATCATCCTTTTCTTGCGATCTCGCATAAGCTTAATCCTAAGAATATGAGCAGCCTCTCCCAAATCCTTCATATCAAAACGTTGGGACAGCCAATCTTTGACAGAATTCAACATACCTACACAATTCCCTATAAGCAGAATATCATCCACATATAGTACCAAAAAACAACCTTACTACCATTCCATTTCTAATACACACAAGACTCATCATGACACTGATCAAAGCCAAAACTTTTAATCGCTTGGTCAAAACAAGTATTCCATGACCTAGATGCTTGTTTAAGCCCATAAATGGACCTATTCAATTTGCAAAGCAAATTTTCTTGTCCATTGTTTTATGAAACCTTCTGTTGCTTCATATAGATGCATTCAATCAAAGACTTTCCATTTAGGAAAGCTGTCTTGACACCATCCATTTGCCAAATCTCATAATCATAATGAGCTGCAATGGATAAAAGAGTTCTAATAGACTTTAGCATGGCTACCGGCGAAAAAGTTTCCTCATAATCGATCCCTTCTTTCTGAGTAAACCCTTTCGCAACAAGCCTTGCCTTCTAAGTTTGCACTTTACCGTCTATACCCCTCTTTTTCTTATACATCCACTTGCATCCGATGGGTTTAACCCCTTCAGGTGGTTCTACAAGTTCCCAGACTTGATTAGAGTACATAGACTCCATCTCAGATTTCATAGCTACAAGCCACTTATCAGCATCTTTAATCTTTATCTTGTAGTGCTTTCATCGTAACAGACAGGTTCAATATTCACTCTTCAGGGATTCTATCAAAAGTTCTCCCAAAGTTGTATATCGAACCGTGTGGTCGTTCTAATTCTCCCAACTACGACGAGTACTACAAGGTTCCTGCAATCACACTTTCATTTTGCTGTGGCTGTAAAGCCGGCAAGTCCATGACTGGTGGGACTACCATCTTGACTCATGTTCTGGAACTTTCAACATGTCTGTCATCACCAGGAGGCAAATGGAAATGTTCGAAGCCCCAACATTGTTGCTCCTGTATTATTTGGATCAACAGCTGCCACTTCAGTTTCTACATAACTCCCACTACTTTCAGGTGTAGTGGAAAATGTTAGGTACTGGAATATTCAGAGGCTGATGTTTGATTACTGGCACTAACATTTCTTTCCACTACGACTAAGGCATGGGAAATGTCAGCTGCAACCATTTGATGGTTTTAGGTTCTGTTATTCTAATGGGAAAGGCCTAGTTGTTATATTTTCTCCTCTCAATTCATACAAGGGCTAATTGACTTTTGGGAATATGGTTTTTAATATAGTCTTCCTCAAGATAATGTGCATTGGTTGCTAACATGACCCGTTTTATCTTGAGAACTATAAAATAAACCACATTTCGTTCCTCTAGGATATCCAATTAAAGAAGCTAAGTCTGTTCTTTGGTTCCAACTTATCTGCGTTCCCTTTCAGCCCATGGGCTGGGACAACCCCACATCCCGAACCATGTCTTAGACTTGGCTTGCGCCCAGTCCACAGTTTTGTGCCCAGTCCACAGTTCTGTAGGAGTTTTAGGTACTGACTTAGATGGAACCAAATTCAGAATATATGTTGTTGTTTCTATGGCATACCCCCAAAACGAAATGGGCAAATCTGAATAACTCATCATTGATCTAACCATATCCATAAGCGTCCTATTTCTTCTTTCTGCTACACCATTATGTTGTAGCATACCAGGTGTAGACAACTGTGAAGTAATTCCTTATTCTGATAAATAAGTAATGAATTCTCTAGAGAGGTATTCGCCACCACGGTCAGACCGTAACGACTTGATATATTTTCCATGTCGTTTCTCCATTTCTGCCTTGAACTCTTTGAATTTCTCAATTGAATTTCTCAAAGCATTCAGACTTACGACGCAACAGGTAAATGTATCCATATCTTGAATAATCATCTGTGAAAGTCTCAAAATGCTCAAAACCACCCCTAGCTTGGACACTCACTGGACCACACAAATCAGAATGAATTAATTCAAGTACATCATTAGTTCTATTACCCTTTATAGGAAAAGGCCTCTTAGTCATTTTACCTTCTAAACAAGGATTCACAGGTTGGTAGTGCCTCCACTTTCAATGAACTCAATGGTCCATCCTTGACCAACCTAGAAATCCTATAGTGCCTCCACTTTCAATGAACTCAAGAGTCCATCTTTGACCAACCTAAAAATTCTATCTAAATTAATATGACCAAGCCTTAAATGCCAAAGATATGTGTGATTGAATTCAATAGGACATTTTCTTTTTAATGATACAACAACATCAAAGTTATTTATTTAAAAATTATTAACTTGCAGTTCAGGTGATACTTTAAGAATAAATAGATCATCAATCAATGAGCCAGAACAAATCATTTGTTTTCTAAATTTAATAATGACCATCATAAAATTCATTAAAACAAACCGAATATCCATTCTTGCTCAAACTAGAAACTGAAATTAAATTCCTTCTAATTGAAGGTACATATAAAACATCCTTCAAAAACAAAGTTCTATTATTCTCAAAATTCAAAGAAACATTTCCTATAGCTAGAACTGCAACTTTTGTGCCATCTCCCAGAAAAATGCTTACATCTCCTTTATTTAGCTGACGAGTTACCTGAAACCCCTGTAATGAATTGCAGACATGATTAGTGGCTCCAGAATCTACACACCATTGGAGTGTAGTCAACACCGCTAAACAAGTTTCAACTATCAGCATATAAAACAGAGGCATACCTTGCTTCATCTTGGCTAACCATGTTGGACATTGTGACTTTGTGACTTCCAGTGCCTAGGTTGCTTGCAATGAAAACACTTACCCTTAGGCTTTTTCACAGCAACACTTACACTAGTAGATGCAGCACTTGTTTTAGGCTTAGCCTTGTGAGCATTTTTCTTCTTCTTACCCTTGTTCTGGGCAGAAGAAGAACCTCGCTCATAAGCACAACATGTGTAGCTCCTTGTTAATAATAGTCTCAGCAGCCACCAGCTCATTCAGCAACTTAGAGTAAAATCCATCTTATTCATGTTATAGTTCGAACGAATTGCTGAAAATTGGTTGGCAAAGTGTTCAAGACCATCTCAATTTAAGTAGCCTTCTTTCATTTCTTCAATTATAATTCTCTCTTTCTATTTTTATTAGTTCATTTATTTTATATTTGATTTTTCATTGATTCAAGACATGAGTTCTAACTGGAGTTCCCTCCTCCATTTTGGAAGTAAGAATCTCCCCCAGTGCGTTTTGCCTTGCTGCACTAGTTTGATCTCTAAACATCTCCTTGAGATTTTCGAGCATGTCAAAAGCTGTGTCCATCTTCTGATGCTGATGTTGCAAAACATTTGACACAGAAGCCAAAATGTAACATTGCGCCATCTCATCAGCTTTAACCCATTTCTGGTAAGCTCTGGTGACCTCCTCAGAGGCACCCTCACCGAGTTTTTCAGGACAAACTTCAGTAAGCACAAACTGATACTCCTCAGCAGTAAGCAAAATGTCCAAATTCCTCTTCCAGTCAACATAGTTTGGACCCTCAAGTTTATTTTGGGTTAAGATGTTTGCAAGGGGACTGAATGATGCCATTTCTATATCATGCATTAAACAAAATTAGCATATCAATAATAAACATTGAATAAATTCATATGTGGAGTTGGTTCTTTACTCAGATTTGTGCATGCAAAATACTAAACAATGCTATTAATTTGATAAAACAAATAAAAATAGCAACCTAACCAAACTCCTAATTATCTTATTTCTCATTTGTTAACGGTATAATTGTTCTTCATGTTGATGTTATTGCTATTATTTAAATATTGTTATTATAGTAATTTATTTTTTACAATTTATAAGTTAATATAAAAATACGCAAGCGTGTTATTTGAAATAATTAGTGGAAATCCTTTTACGAATATCTTAGTATCTGAACATTTGAAAAAACTTTTGAATTTTTTTTATCTATATCTATTATTTTTGAAATAGTTATACTTAGATAATTATGCTTTTAATATTTTTAATTTAACAAAGTATTATTCATATTGAATTATTTAATTTTTTTTCTTATGTAATTAATTATAATCAAAATTGCAAAATAATGTATTTTTAAGACAATTTTGCAAATAAAATTAACATTTTGAAAATGTTAAAAATTTAGTGTTCTGGTCTATTTATGCAAATAAATTAAAACATTCTGGATTTATCTTGCAAAAACAGAAACATTCTAGGCCATTTCGCAAATTTCAGAACTTCTTTGGACTATTTTGCATAAAACAGAAACTATTGGGCCAAAAGTGCAAAAATCGGAAAACATCTAGGCAATTTTAATAATACCAAAAACAATTAGGGTCACTTTATAATTTAAATAACTCCAGGGGGCTAAAACGGAATAACTGATACTTTCTGGGTCAAAATATAAAAAATTAAAAAAAAATTAAAGTCCAGAGGTTAAAATATAATAAACAAAAGATCTAGTGTCAAAAAATAAAAACTTAAAGATAAGGGGTCAAAATATAAAATTTAACAAATTGAGGGACCAGAAGGGAAATTTGGCAAGCAGCAGCTTCTTCTTCACGAAGAAGCCCTAGCCGCTGCCCCTTTTCCCTTCAACGTCCATTAACGCTGCTGGCGCTTTTTTTTTTTTTTTTTTTTTTTTATTCTCCTATTCTCGTATTTATAAAGTTACAAAAATAACTAACAACTATTAAAATCACTAATGTTACTGAAAAAGATCTTAAATTAGAAGTTTAATTATTTAAATATTATAATAAGTGGCACAGCTAAAACATTATAACTAAAAGGAAAAATT